CAGTGTTGAAATCTCCATGTATAATAGTGGATGAATCTATTTTCCTTGCAATTCTAATAGTTTTTGCAAGTGTTTTGATGTTCTGTTGTTAAATGCATACAAAGGATTGTTACGTCTTGTGGAATTGAAAACTTTTGTCTTTGAGACAGGGTCTCTAGCCCAGGTTGGCCTTGAGTAGCCTCATTGTGTAGTTGAGGATGACCTTGAACTTCTGGTCCTCCTGCCTCCACCTCTCAAGTACTGAGATTAGTTTATTCCAATGTCTGGTTTATGTGGTGCTGGGAATGGAACCCCAGGCTTCATGAGTGTTAGGTAAGCACTCTACCAATTAAGCCACATCCCTGGGCCGAGAACTGAAACCTTCACCATTATGTAACACTTCTTTTTTATCTCCAATAATGGTCCTTGTAAGTCTGCTGTTTGAAATTAATATACCAGCTGGGCATTGTGGCACACACCTTTAATCCCCACACTTGGGGGGCAGAGACAGGTGGATCTCTGTGAGTTCCATCTGGGGCTCCAGGGAGACCCTGTCTCAAAAAGACCCCCCCAAAAAAGAGGAGGAGGAAGAGGAAGAAGAAATTAATACCTAGACCCACTGCTTTTAATGTTACCAGGATTTATGTTTCTCCATCTCTTTACTTTTTTCTTGAGACAGGGTCTCACATGTAGCCCTGGATGACCTGACGCTTGCTATGTAGACTAGGCTAGCCTTGAACTCAGAGAGATCTGCCTGCCTCTGTCTTCTGAGTGTTGGGATTAAAGGTGTGTGCCACCACACCTCACTGTTCACACTTTTTGTTTTGTTTTTGAGACAGGGTCTCCCTGGAGCCCCAGCTGGCCTGGAACTTAATGTATAAACCAGGCCAGCCTTGATCTCACAGAGATCCACCTGACTCTGCCTCCCCCGTTTTGGGATTAAAGCCTGGCCCTTGTTCACATCTTTTTTTTTTTTTTTTTTTTTTTTTTTGGTCTTTTTGAGCTAAGCATTTTGTACATTTCTTAGTACATTTGGGCTACAATAATGAAATACCACAGCCTGGGTGGCTTATAGACTATAGAAATTGCTCAATTCTGGATGCCAGGAAATATAAAATCAAGGGACCAATGTACTTGGTGTCTCCCAAGGACTTCTTTGTTCATAGCTATCACTGTGACTTCACTAGGTCTCTAGGGGTAGGGGTTCAAATCATGAGTGAAGGAAAAGAAATCATTTCAAAGAATTAAAATCTTTTCTATCAAAAGAATGATCCCAGGAATGTAATATCTGCAATGCTATTTTGTAATGTCACCCACCTTGTAACACTATTTATGCCAAGGAAGGCCTCGCATTACATTTCCAGAACTTGATGGCTGCAGTGCCCAATCTCTTCCCTATTGGTACCCAAATAAGGCAACACATCCTTTTGCAAAAGTAAAAACTGCTTGTCTATGTGTTGTTTGTGAGGTATCAGTGGGATCTTTGGACCTCAGATTTTCTTTTTTATATATTTTTATTTAAAATATTTTATTTATTATTTTTATGTGTATGAGTGTATTGCCTGAATGTATGTGAGTGCACCCGTGTCGTGCAATGCTGCAGAGGTCAGAAGAGGGCTTCGGATTCCCCTGGAACTGGAGTTAAGGACAATTCATAGCCGCCATGTTGGTGCTGGGAATCAAACCCGGGTCCTCTGCAAGAGCAGTCAGTGCTCCTAACCGCTGAGCCATCTCTCCAGCCCCCAGATTTTATTTCTAACATGAGTTCCACCCTCATGACCTGATCACCTCCCAAAGGCCACATCTCCTGCTACCATCATCACCTTGGAAGTCAGTTTCATATCTATCTTATATGCAAAGTACGTTCATTCCATCTCACTAACCACAAACTCAAGATACTTTATCATCAGTTCAGAAATCTAAAGCCCACTGTTTTGTAAATTAGTTGTAGGCAAGACCAACACTATGATTCATTCATTCAGCAAACTGCTCTGTGGTTGTGAATCAAACAGGTTCTCCAAATTACTCTTGTGGCATGGGCACAAGATATCCCCATTCTAAATGGGAAAAATGGAGGAAAAGGCAAGCATGGCAGGTCCCAGATAAGCCTAAAACTGAAAAGATGAACAGTAATGGATCCAAATTCATCTTCTTGGGCTAAATGCTCTGCCCTGCAGGTCACTAAGGTAACAGTAACATCTTTAGGAAGCACTGGGGGTTGGCACCCTACCCTCAAGACAGCTTTGTGCCTGGCCCAACCCTGCAGTGGTTGTCTGCAGTGGCCCTATCTCCACAGGTGCTTGTGTCTTGAGTCACAAATCTAGGGTTTCCCTAGAATCAGTCAACAGCATCTTTCCCAGGCTCAGGTCTGGGGGCAGCTCCACTCCCATGGCTCAGCTGTTGTGGGCCTAGTGGGAGCTCTAGTAGTCCTGCCCTTTGCAGCTCTCCTCTACCTGGACTTTATGACTCTCTGCCACATCCTATAAATTCTAGGTAAAAGCAGCCATGACAGAAAAGCTTTGTGGTACTTTCTTCCATTGTCTTAAAAAATAGATTTGGGGGGCTGGAGAG